TTCAAAATAATAATAGCAACAATGTCCTCAATAAGTATAGCTTATGTATAAGTGAAATGAATGACAGCAACAATACAAGAGACAAGAGGGAGTAATTAGAAATATTTTAATATTACAAGGTACTTGTACTACCCATGAAACAGAATGGTGTTACAAAAGTGCACTGGATTAGTTGTAAATGTGTATTGCACATTTACGCTAGGGAAACCACTAAAAAAAGTAAAACAGAAGTATAATTGACATAAGAAAGGAAAGAAAATTGAATCAAAAGGTAGAAAGTAGTGGAAGACAAAAATAGAAACCAAGAACAAGAGCAATGAATAAAAAACAGTAACAAGTACAATAGATATTAATTCAATTACATCAATACAGGTTGAGTATCCCTTATCCGAAATGCTTGGGATCTGAAGAATTTTGGATTTTTGAATTTTTTTAGGATTTTGTAATATTTGCATTATGCTTAATGGTTGAGCATCCCAAATCTGAATATCTGAAATGCTCCAATGAGCATTTTCTTTGAGTGTCACATTGGAACTCAAAAATTTTCAGATTTTGGAGCATTTTGGAATTTTGGATATTCAGATTTGAGACTCTCTACCTGTAATCACTTTAAATATCAATGGTCTAAATATACCAATTAAAAGACAGAAATTGTCTACAGGAAACCCACTTTAAATGTAAAGACACGTACAGAATGAAAGTAAAGGGATGAAGATAGACCATGCTAACTTTAATGAAAAGCAAGTGGAAGTAGCTACATTAATTTCAGACAGAACAGACTTCAGAACAAGGAAAATTATCAAGGATAAAAAGGGGCATTGCATAAAGAAAAAAGGGTCAGTTCTCTAAGAAGACATAATCCTTAATGTGTACATGTTGAACAACAAAGCATTAAAATATGTGACATAAAATAGATGAGTCCACTATTATATAGTCATCCCCTGGTATCTATGAGGGATTTGTTCCAGGACACTCCACATATACCCAAATCCACAGATACTCAAGTTCCACAGCTGGCACAGCAGAACCTGAATATATAAAAAGCTAGCCCTGCAAATATGCAGGTCCCACATCCCAGGAATACTGTCCTTTCAGCCCACAGTTGGTTTAAAAAAAAAATGTATAAGTGGATCTGCACAATTTAAACCCATGTTGTTCAAGGGTCAACTGTAGCTGGAGACTTCAACACCCCTCTATTAGAAATGTACAGATCCAGAAGCAAGAAAATCAGTTAAGGATAGAGTTGAACTCAATAGCACCATCAACTTACTGGATATAATGCACACATTTAGACCAATTACACTTGATGTCATTAATGGATATAGTTGGGTTTAAATCTACCATCTTGTGTCTTATTTTCTATTTGCTCATCTGCTCCTTGTTCCTTTTTTTTTTTTTAGCCTTTTTTTGAACTGAGTTCTTTTTAAGATTGCATTTTATCCCCTTTGTTGGCTTAATAGCTATAACTCTGTGTTACTTTACTGATTCCTGTAGAGTGGGGTTTTAGTGCACATCTTTAATCAATCTACCTTCGAATGATACTATATTATTACTTTACATATGTAAGAACTGTATAACAGCATACTTCCATTTCTCCCCTCCCGGGCTTTGTGGTATTTTTATCATACATACTACTTCTACTTATGTTAACAACCACACAATACATTGCTATTATTTTTGCTTCAAACATTCAATTATGTCTTTAAGATATTTAAATAATAAGGAAAAAGGATCTATGCAATTCTTTATGCATACAGTAGTAACCTATCTAGATACCATTTCCAGTGGTCTTCATTCCTTTGTGTAGATACAGGTTTCTGTTATCACCTTTCTTCTGCTTGAAGAGCTTCCTTTAATAATTGTTAACACAAGTCTGCTGATTCTTTCTGATTTTATTATGTCTAAAAGACCCTCCATTTTTGCCTTCATTTTTGAAAGATATTGTCACTATGCAAAGAATTCTAGCTGGGGAATTTTTTCTTTCAGTATTAAAGATGTTGGTCCACTGCCTTCTAGCTTGCATTGTTTCCAACTAGAAATCTGCTACAATTTCTATCTTTGTTCCTCTGCACCTAATTTGTTTTTTTCTCCCTTGTTTTTAAGATTTTCTTCATCACTGGCTTAAAGTTTAATATGGCTCATTGTACTTCCTGAGTCTATGGCTTTATAGTTTTCATCAATTTGGAAAAAATTCAGCCACTATTTCATCAAATATTTTGCCTTGCCTCCCTTTCTCAGGACTCCATTTAACATGTTGGGCTCTTGAAATTGTCCCACAATTCTCTAATGCCTCAATTCCTTCCCCACCCCTTTTCTTCTTCAGCGTTTTTCTTCATGTTCAAGTTCATTTATCTCCTTTGTGATGTCCAATTTGCTGTTAACCCCATCCAGTGTATTCTCCATTTCAGATATTGTAGCTTTCATATCTAGCTTAATTTGGGGTTTTTTTTGTTTTGTTATCTTTTATGCCTCTGCCTAACATGTTCAATTTTTCTTTCTAGCTTTTTGGATGGAATACAGTTATGTTTTAATTTCCTTGTCTACTGATTACATCACTGTGCATTTCTGGATCAGTTTTGATTCATTGATTTTTCCCATCACTATTGGTTTTCTTTTCTTTTCTTTTTATTTTTTAAAAGATGACCGGTAAGGGGATCTTAAACCTTTGACTTGGTGTTGTCAGCACCATGCTCACCCATTGAGCAACCAGCCATCCCTATATGGGATCCGAACCCATGGCCTTGGTGTTACCAGCACCATACTCTCCCAAGTGAGCCATGGGCTGGCCCATTATTGGTTTTGTTTTCATGTTCCCTTGTATGACTGGAGATTAGATGCCAGGTATTGCAAATTTTATGTTATTGGGTATCAGATTTTTTAATATTCCTATATTCTTGAGCTTTGTTCTGGAACACAGTTAGAGACAGCTGTTTTCCAGTTTGATCTTGTTTTTAAACTTTGTGAGTTGCACCACAACTATGTTTAGTATATGGTTGATTTTTCCACTACTGGGACAAGATTCTTCTTAGTATTTTTTTCCATTGCCATCTGGCATATGAGGCTTTAGACTGGATGCTGAAAACAGGCACTATTTTCAGCTCCAACACTGTTCCCTCTAATCCTTTTGGGTGGGTCTTTCTTTGGCCTCAGGTAGTTTCTTGACAGGCATGCACTATTTGGTACAAAACTGAGTATTTGATGGGAACCCTCTGCAGAGCTCAGTTCCTCTGCTGTGCAACACTCTCCTCTAAGGCATTTTCCCTTGTGAATTCCAGCCATCCTGACAGCCCTGGACTCCCAACCTCAACTCAGGGAGGCCAAGAGGTCCTGATGGGATGACACTTTCTGGAACCATGGACTTTCTCCAGAGAAGTAGGGATAATTTTATTTCCCTTTTCTAAAGGATCATTGTCCTTTGTTGGCTGAAGTTCACTGTCTTGATATTTAAGCATTTAAGGAGGGAGGGTAACTTAGTAAGACAGAAAATTCTTACATAATAACTACTCCAGCCAAATATCACAGAAAAAAAAGTACAGCCCCACCTTCATCTGAAGATGTCACAGGCTGAGAACTTTTACCACCATCTAGCCTAACATGGCCTTCTCCCTATCCCACAGTGTCACTGCGGTGCTCCTCCCACTTCCAGGCAGAATGGTATCAGCAAAGATCTAGATGGGAGCCATATTAGGGAACCTGGACTTCCACCTGCAGCACCCTCATTCCACCACCAGTGCAGTCAGAGGACGCCTGCTAAAAGATTTAAATAACTTCCAGAGTTTCATAATATAACAATGAAAATGTCCGGAATACAACCAAAAGCACTCATCACACCAAGAACTAGGACATTTAAAACCTGAATGAGGAAATACAATCAAAGGACACCAACATTAACATGACCCAGATGTTGAACTACTTGCATGACAAGGATTATAAAGCAGCCATCAAAAAAATTCTCCAGTGAGCAATTACTCACACCCTCGAAACAATAAAAAAAAAGAAAGTCTCAGCAAAGAAACAGAAGATATAAAGAAAAATCAAATGCAAATTTTAGAAATTAAATATACAATAGGCAAAATAAAAATACTAAATGGATGGCTTAAGAGAAGAATGGAAAGAGAAAATAATGAGTGAACCTTGAAGATAAAACAATAGAAATTACCCAATCTGAACAGAGAGAAAATAGACTGGAGAAAAAACAAAACAAAACAGAGCTGCAGAGGCTTGTGGGACTATAATAAAAGATCTAACATTTGTGTCATCAGTATCCCAGGAGGACTTGAGTGGGGCTGAAAAAATACTCAAAGATATAAGACAATAATAATATATTCCACAGAATGGGAAAAAACTTGTAAATCATATATCTGATAGGGAGCTTGTATCTAGAATATATAAAGAACTATTACAAGTCAATAATAACACAACCCAATTTCTAAAATGGATAGAGGATCTGAATAAACATTTCTCAAAAAAACACATACAAATGTCCCATAAAGATCTTAAACATAATCAGGGGAATGCAAGTTCAAATCAAGTGAGGCACCCCTTCACGCCACTGGGATGCCTGTTGTCAAAAGACAGAACAAGTACTGGAGAGGCTGGAGGGAAACCCTCATACACAGCTAATGGGAATGTAAAATGGTGCAGCCACTGTGAAAAACAGTTTGGCAGCTCCTCAGTATAGTCAAGTTATTTAACTGCTCTGTAAAATAAAATTAGTAACATTCACTTTGAACAAATTGGGGTTAATACAAGGGTACTTCAAAGAGTTCATGGAAAAATAGAATTAAAATACAATCTTTCCATGAACTTTTTGAAGTACCCTCCTATACATTAGCCATACTTATTATAGCATTGTTATTGTGCATATTATTATTGATTGGGTCATGCTCCCCCCTAATTCATTTACTTTTTGTTTAAATGAATATTTAATGTAGTCTTGGACTGAGGTATGTATATAAAGTTCCTATCACGTAGACTGGCAATACCATGTGCTCAACAAATGTAAGCTATTAATTATTTATTTGTAAATAAGGAGTTACGGTTGGACTTTCCTCAAAAAAACTAAAAAAAGACATCCTAAGGTACAAGGGTTGAGTCTCTCCCAGGTGCCAGAGAGCATGAGGCACTGGCTGTACAAGGCCAGAGGGAAGGTTAGGTGGCGGCTCTCTTTAAACCTGCCCACACAGAGCGCTTCATTCCCTGTGCAGCCTTCACGTCATCCCAGTCTAGTTTGATGTCTGGAACCTCCTCTTCTGGCTCTGGATCCATTCTCAAGGGCCCCTGCGGGGAAGCAACCACAATGGGCAGAGGGCCACACTCCTCCCGGAATTCCACAACATGGAGACTCTTCTTATCAGCCAACTGTTGATGGGTTTCCTGGGCAAGACCAAATTGAGAACACAAGGTCAGGTCTACACAGTATATCTGCAACTTAAAGACCAGGAACTTCCATCAGCCAGAAGGAAATGAGCAGTAAAAACACACACAGTCTGGAGGAAGTTTAATACCATTTCACTTGATTTTGGGTAATGTGCTTTGTGGAGACCTGTTATGGGTGGATCACCTCAGCCCCATCTCCCTACCCCCAGCTGGAATGGAGGAAAGGCCTTGGCTTCTGGTTTCCTGCCTACCAAACCCTCCTAATTATGTGCCATGCTGTGCCAAAAATTGAACTTGAGTCTCACCAAGCCCCTAGATCTAACTACTAATTTACAGGAAATACAGGGCAGAGAAGACATTAAGGACCCCACAGGTATTTAGGCAGCACCAACCTACAGGACACAACCTGATTTTTTCAACAAAAAAAATTACAAGAAAAAAAACAAAAGAAGGGAATCTACAGATTAAGAGAGACTTAGAAGACATAGCAAAACCATATAATATATGGACTTTTCGGCATTCTGACTCAAACTGTGAAAAAAATTTCTTTTAATCTGACAAATGAATACAATTGTATGGACACTGACTGGATATTTGATGATGCTGAGTTATTGTTAATTTTTTAGGTATAATAGCATCATGGGTTATTTTTTATCCTTGTCTTTTAAAGATACATACTGAAGTATTTATGGATAAAATAAAATGATGTCTGAGATTTGGTTCAAAGTAATGGACTAAGTAGGGGTGGTATTAAGGTTGGTCATGAGCTGGCTGAAGGGGCCATGGGGATTCGTTATAGAGGGTGACCAAAGGAGTCTGGAAACCAGCAATAAATTCAGTAGATAGTTTACTCATAGTACATTAAAGTACCTAATATGTTCAATCCCATTTCCAGACTTTATGGCCACCTTGTACTATTCTAATTTTATACATGTTTGAAATTTAAAAAGAGATGAGCGGTTTCATAAACAAATAACTTAAACTGGTGTATCTTACAATCAAACACATGCCACTTAAACCGGTGGCATTTTTTCTTCTTGAGTGGCACATTAAATAATGCAACTCTTTATAACTGATAAGCATTTTAGAAGAGATGATACATGGTAATTAAAGTACTAATGAAAAACAAAAATATCACATAAAAGAACAAGTCTACTGATCATAAATATACTATCTAAAACCACATCTTAATTACATCAAACAAACCTGTAACAGTAAGTACGAAGTCAGTACTTTAAAAGATGTTTTAGATAGCACCAATAGACATGGATGCCATTGAAAAAAGATCTTTTATCTGAAGACTTCTTTTTCTTTTAATTAACTTCCCCATAAACAGAGACATGTAAAATTATTCCATGGATCATTTCATTCAAAAACCACCATCCCACTCTCGAAGTGTCAGGAAGCTGTTGAAGTACTCAGTGAACAGAGTCGAGCAAATGGAGCCTACTGAACCTGGTTGTCTTCTCTGCTCATACACCTCTGCTAAGGCCTACCCACCCTTCTAAAGCACAGGGCATCCCTGCTGGGCAGGTAGGAGGGCTGCCCAAGAGGGAGGCCCATGCAGTCACAGCCCTTCCCCTCTGCCGAGGAGTGGAGTGATTGTGAGCCAGGCCCAGGCTGGGGGGCAGGGGTGGCTATCTGGGCAGTACCCCAGGGCTCCCACGTATGAGGTAAAATCACTTTCCATGTTAATGTTCATAGTTCTCTACTACTTGAGGTTTCAGTCTGAGCCACCTACTCAGGTAATGTGAAATCTGACTGTGCTTCTCTTGAATAGAAAGGTGCCCTGGGAGCTTTACTCTAGTCCCAACTGAAGGGACTAAATTACAAAATGGACTCTCTCTTTTTATTTTACATTTCCATACTCTTGGAGCTTTAGGACAAGCATGTATTCTTTTCATATTAAAATGTAGACTGTAATCACTGTCTTTTAAAAATACTAAATTTTGTAACTTCAGAAACCTACAAAGTGTTTTTTTACAGGCTAATTTTCATTAACTAACTCTTCAGTAGATTTGACAACCTGATGCAGCCATAGACAGCAAAGAATGCCCAAGTCCTCAGGTGGTCCTGGGACAGCATCTCCAGGAGGCCCCATAACATGTGTCTCAATGCACACAACTGAAATACAAACTAGAGCTTCTGTTTCAGACCCTAGGAAGGGTTACCTGGTGGGAGAGCCCACGGAAGAGGCCCCGGGTGAGGCTGATCATGTTCATGGACCCAGAGACCTTGGCATACATGTCTTTGATGCCAATGAGCCGGCAGATGGTGATGATGGCCCTGTGGCAGTGGAGGCCATAACCTAGAAAAGGGGAGAAAACAAGTGAGACACCCGCCCACTCGCCTGCAGCAGGTGTCAGTAACCCTGCAGGCTCTCCCGTGGCTCTGGGCTCTGGGTTTAGGAAAACTGGTTCACATTCTGATTTCACCACTTCCCAGCAGGGTGACCCTTGACAACTTACTGAACTTCCAAGATGACACTCATTTAAGTGGGATGCTATAAGGATTAGGGAGATAATATATATGAATCTCCTGAACACAGAAGGCAAAAACAAGGGCTATTCTGAAGATGAACAAAGATGCCTGAAAATTCTTGGCACCCCACACTCATGTTAACTAAGGATCAAAGGACACATCTGTTCTCACCCTCCTGGACGGCTCAGTGGCACTGAGCAGATATCCACTTCCTCCTCACGGAAAAACTCCCCTTTTGGCTTCAGTAACAATCCTCTCCTGGATTTTTTCCTAGCTACTGGCCTGTCTTCTCACCTCCTGGCTGTCCTCTAAGTCTTGGGTGGTCTCCTCTCCAGCTGCTTGCCCTACTCTTGTCCACCTATAATCCCTCTTCCAGAAGAGCTTTAAAAATACAAACCAAACACACCACTCCCCCATTTAAAGCCCTCCTCTTTCAACTGTTCTCTGAATTAAAATAAGATAAACAATAAAGAACTTCACAACTACAAAGCCTTCCAGGCCCGAACCCTGCACCTCACTGACATCATCTAGAGACGCCCTCCTCACACTGGCTTTCCCACCTCCAGGACTTTGCACTTGGGGTCTTCCTCAGCCTGGAATGTTCTCCCAGCTCTGCTCCTTTGGCTCCTTCTCACCTTCAAGGTCTCACTCAAATCACTCTTCCTCAGAGAGGGCTTCTTTGACCACACCATTGGTGGTGGCATCCTTCCTCCCCTGCCCCCCAATGCAGCGTACTGATTACAGCACTCAGGCACTCAACGAAACCTGCTTATCCAGCGCTTCCCCTCAGGAGAACATGGGCTCCACGTTTACAACTGTATCCCCAGGGCCTAGATCAGGATCTGGTAGTGCAGGTGGGAGTGAGGAAGAACAAAAGGTCCCATTTAGACTCTTTAACACTTTGATTTGCCAGACATGAAATTTGGCACTCACTTCCCTGATTTAAGGTAAAAGATCTACTCTAGAAGTTGAACATCACTGGCTTTCTAGTTTCTGATTTTTCATGGTAACTCAATATCTGTGTGTAAAACTGTATTTGGATACAAATACATAACATTCTCACCTAAAACTCACCCTTCTACTTGAAATAACCAATTAACTGTGGACACTCCATAGCTATGCTAGAGTAGCTAAAGACAGGTAACAACGGGGCTCTTCTGTGTGGAGTTATCCCCACACGGGACTTGTGTTCACGTGTGAACATAATGCATCCACGTACAGATGAACACACACCTAGACAGAGGTGAACATGAAAGGTGTAAGGCAGACTTTGGAAGGGCCTGGGAGGCAGACTCTACCCTGTTACTGCTGGATGACCCTGGGCAAGATCCTCCTCCCTGCAATACCTACTCAGCAGAACTACGAGTGAACACCAAGGGAAGGTACGCATAACACACAGCCCCTAGATCACAGTGGACACTCCATGAACGGTAGCCACTGGTTTGAACCTACACAAATATCCATATCATAGCAGTCACAGTCCTACAGTAATTATTTGACTATACTTTGATTGCGAACACTTCCAGGCAGGGCCTATGTCAAAAAACACTTGTTTAATAAAAGTAAAATAATGTGTATATGTATTTATATGAAAAACCCTTTGCGGTGCTGTGTAAGGAACTAAATACTGTCCTGCAGCCAATGTAGATGTGGTCCATGATTAAGTAAGTATGGGCATGTCACATTCTCTATTTTCCTTGGGAGATTCATATCGCACAGCAGCACATTAAAGACTGCAATGTTCACAAAGATGCATGAACATCTTTTTGTCTTTTCTTGATCTAGTTTTCCCACTTGGCACCTGTATTAGTCCGTTTGTGTTGTTACAACAGAAATACCTGAGACTGGGTCATTTATAAAGAACAGGGGTTTATTTGGCTTACGATTCTGGGACGGCTGCATCTGGCATGGGCTTTAGGCTGCTTCTATTCATGGAAAGCAGCAGGCAGCCAGCAGGTACAAGCAGATCACATGGCGAGAAGAAGCAAGAGAGAGACAGAGAAGGGAAGTGCCAGGATCTTTTAAACAATCAGCTCTCGCAGGAACTAATAGAGCAAGAACTCACTCATTAATCCCCCACCTAGGGAGAGCATTAATCCATTCATGAAGGATCTGCCCCCATGGCTCAAACAGCTTCCAGCATTGCCACATTGGGGATCAGATTTCCACGTGAGTTTTGGTGGGGACAACACATCCAAACTCTATCAGCACCTTTTTTGGATTAACACCTATTACTCTCTCCTCAAAGAAATAGTAATGCATAGGAACACAGTTTAGTAAATGCCTATTTGTATATGTGTTTTAGGAAATGTGTATAAAGTGTGACACAGTTTTAGCTTCAAAATCCAACTATTTAACCCTAATACACTCTAATATAAAACCCTAATTGTTTAAACTATATAGAAACCTGAAAAATTCAGCTTTGATTAGAAGACAGGAAAGATTAAAAAAGGTAACTCCTGTAATTAAATTAAAATTGGACTAGTTTTTCAAAAATCATTCAGATATAAATGTTTTAGACACACTGTTTAGACCAACACTACCCAACAGAAATATAATGCAAGTCACAAACAGAACACATACATGTAATTTTAAATTTTCTCATTAATGCATTAATAAAAGTTTTAAGAAAGTAAAATTAGTTTTAGTAATATATTTTATTTTTTTGAGGCTCAAAGAGTTTAATTTAGTGTCCAGTTAGTAATATACTTTATTAACTCAGTATGTCCAAACATTATCATTTTGAAATGTAATCAATACAATATTTTTGAGATGTTTTACATTCTTTTCTTCCTACTAAGTCTTCGAAATCTGGTGCATATTTGACATAGTAGATCAAAAGCTCCATTTTAAGTGCTCAACAGCCACAGTTACCATGTGGCACAGCGCAGGTCTAAACCCTGATGCCTAAGTATTCAACTCAACACTTTTTCTAATGACAAAATAAATGATTTTTATCAGGCATCTGGATGATTAATTAATTATAGCAAGCTAAAGCAAAAGGAAAGTGCTGGTATATTAACACAACTGGCACTCTATTTGATTTTTTTTTTCTTGACTTATTTTCATACCATAGCTCTACCATATTTTCATAGCCATAGCTCTAATTTCATATTAGAGCTTTAATATGAAAATTTAAATATAATGTTTTATCTCTTCTGACACCAACTTTTTGAGAGTTATATACCTATAGTTATATAAAATCATTTTTTAACACCAAGGTCAAGGGTTCAGATCTCCATACCGGCCAGCACCAAAACAAACAAAACAACCATTTTTCACTCTAGATCTATAGGTGAAATGAAAATCAGAATGTTTAAGAATCCTACACCCAGAGTCCACTGCGCATGACTATCACACCCCCGTGACCCTGAACTGTCTGGCTGAAGGGCCATCCTTTCATCCCCAGTGCTTAGCATAGCCCTGGCTCACAGATGTTCAATCAATACTTGATGATGAGTAGTAAGTGGCTGGAACTGAATAAGCCATAAGAGTAGAAACATCTAATAGCATCAGTGAATAATCCAGGAAGAACGAATGTACCCACTCACCCACACCCAACTACTCTCTCGGTTACTATTTCCTATTCACAAGGTGCTCTTCCCACCTAGAATTACTCCTGGAAAGTGTGTGCACTCACGGGAGCCTGTGTACCTTGATTATTTTTTATTTCCCAAGAGCCTCATCCTCTGTAAGCCTGGCTTAGCCCTTCCATTTTGGTGTTTTCAACATGAGTTCAAGTAAAGGGGAACAAAAACAGAGAAGCAGATGGAATTGTTATAATTTCTCTACTTTATCTTCAACAAATGGTAAGTATTTTAGTTACCTCTGGGTTGTTTCTTCATCTTGATACGTGTCCTTTTAAATCTTAAAGAAATATCATGGAATACTGGAAGGTAGAAACATAAACACAAGAAAGATTATGTGTGTGGCTTTGACACCCTTGCAGACATTACAAAGCAACAGGTACGACCCTAAACAGCCAGCACACACCAGCCAAGGATGAATGACAAATTCTGACTTCACTCATTTTACTAACCTTCTCAGGAGATTCAGTTTGTTTCCAAATTGTATATATTTGTAAGAACATAGTAACGGAGAAACACAATGATACCTATAAAGATACACGGCCACACACACTTCAACAAGCACAATCCTGCAAATTTTAAAAGACTAACACTCACTTGTATGGTCTTCATATCGTTCTATGTAATGCAAATAGCGAATTGCTTTGTTCTTTGCCTGAAAGAAAGAAGGAAAATGTTTTCTGAATCTCTTGTTGAAATTTATTTTCTCAGGGATTTCCAAAATACTTTTTATAAAATATTATAAAAAAATTTCACCTATGTAAAAATGTTAATATAAGTCCTTACTTTTTAGAAGTATATATTTTTTTAAAAAATCACAATATCATTATCACACCTAAAGAAATTAACAATAATTCCTTAGTATCTTCAAACATTCTGTTAGTGTTCAAACTTCTACAGCTGTCTCATAACTTTGGTAAGAAATCACAAGTCTGATAAAAATGATGCAAAGGAATATAAGTATTCTGAAACTGCTTTTAATGAGATATGTAACTTTCAACAGCAAGCCAAGTGGGAAGATTCTGGGACAAATTTTTTTTTGTGTGGTTCCCACAGTGTCTAGCACATACCTTCTTGGTCTTTTATAGTGAGTGTCAACAAAGAAAATGTGTACATACTTTTCTAAAAGCATCCTTTCGTTCAGTGGCTTTCCCAATAGCAAAACCTATAAACAAAAAGCAAAATTATGAAAAGGGTTGTTAATTTGGCACATAATCTGCCTTTTACCACATTCTAAGTTTCAGCTCCTACAGTATTTCATAGCACTTTATCTTCCTACCACCCACAGAAAACCTATCAAAAGCCAACGGGAAAGCATGAGGCTTATCTGTTTTGAGGTTTTCTGGAAATATTACATTTGGGTGTATTTATGAAATTCAAGGTTAGATGCATAAAATTATCTTTTACAAATCTCTAAATAAAACTAAATATACTCAATTTAAAAAACCAAATATACTCTAAATTAATAAGGCAAATGGTTTTAGACATTTTTGAAAATAGATTATCCCAAAAGGGTGGGAAAAAACATATACTGCTACAGAGTAAAACCATGACTTCACTGGAAATTTCAAATGGAATTCAGACTTTAATTACCCAGGAAATAAAATCAATGATTCTTCAGTTTGTGAATACTTAACCCCATGAAATTGAGGTTTATCACAAGTTATGGAAATGCTCCCATTATTTGCTACCATCATTAATTACTTATTTTGAAGAATGTATGTTGTTGTTAAATCATACACAGGAAAGTAACATAAGACAATACTGCTTCAGGAGACATACAAGACATTGGAGACCTGGGACAAAAGGGGATGTGGAATACAATTCCTAGCTTAAACAAATCAAATGAAACCATGGAAGCCCTAGAGGAAAATACAGGAAATCTTATTTATAATCTTCTAATGAAGGCTTTCTAAGCAAGACATAAAACCAGACATGATAAAAGACTGATAAATCTGCTATATAAAAGTTTAAAACTTCTGTGGATTTAAAACTCCTGTCCGGAAAAAAATTAAAAATTAAATCAAACTATCTGAGAGACAAAGGGCTAATATTCGTAACTTATAAAGAGCTTATACCAATGAATAAGGAAAGGAACAATCACCCCCCCAAAAAATGGGCAAAGCATTTATGAACTGACACCAGAAGGGCTTACGACAAGGTTTGTGAGCCCAAACCACTAAAAGGTTTATTCAGGAGAAAAAGTCTGGCCAGTGGCACAAGCCCATGGACTTGGCACAGCACGGCCAGCCACGCCTGTCCTCCGCCACACCGTCACCACCACTGCATGTACTATCATGCCCCATTCACCTGCAGCTCCATTTCCATTCCCCACGGCGACCAGGACCCGGACTGATATCTTTCTTCCCTCTTTTGCCGTCATATTGAAAACATTTCTTACCTAAAAGACAAAATGTCTCATAAATATTACACCTTAAGAAAATCTCGTAGTAGGGACCTGGAGGGACCTGACACACACACACACACACGTACACACAAATGTACACACACACGTACATACACACATACACGCACACACAAGCACACCATCCTCAGATTCCAAGAGCACAAACAGCAAACTTTCTTCAAATGCAACCTCCCTCTGGTCTGTTCCTTCAGGAATAAAATGGAAAGAAGACTTTCTGTTCCTATTTCACAGGGTCATGAGAAGGTACAACTGATAATCTTTAAAGGAATTTGAAACTACATTCAATATATCCTATCTTAGTGAATGTATCACAAGAAAGGAAAATACTGCTGATAAAACTTTGACATGGTTTATCACTGATTGTAACATGTATTCCAATATCAGAGATGTTAAAATATGAAAAAATAGGCATCGGAGAAATGATGAAATGCAGTATACAGAAATAATGAGCATAGACACCTACGTTAACAATAGGCTCAACTGAGAATAGAAAATTTGGAAACACCTGCTTATTATTAACTATAGGAAAATCTGCATTCTTTCCGGCCTATTTTAAAGGCCAGGAACTATGAAACTGTTAACTAGACTGTTTACGTGGTAGCTGTCTCTCTGTTCGTGGTGGCCCCTTTCCTATAAAATGGGATTAAAGGAAAAGGGAGCACAAGTCCACTTACAGGAAACTGTCCACATGTATAAGAATTCTTCAAAGGGGTTAACTTCCAAAAGCTATACGCTGGCATATCAAAGACATAAAATACTTGGAACATATTTTAAATTCCATAACGCACTTGACATTGAAGAAACAATATGCATATTCAGAGAGACTCAATCCCAAACACAATAAATTATTCCATACAGTATTTAGCACTGATTAAGTACGCAGCGCCAGCTCAAAGGGCAGTTGACCATTTTAGCGACTGCCCTGGAAAGAGTGATGAAGTTTACTTGATACAGGCTCCCGAGCCAATTGTGTTTGAGAAACACTGCATCCTATAGGCAGCTCCTGTAGATTCAAAATGCACGTCACTATGTTTAAGGCTCTGAGAAGCCACATGATAAAGACACCAGGAACCCAGTGCTTTCCATCCTGTTGGTGAATACTTCTTGGACTCTATTGTTTCATAAAATACAGTTTGGATAATAATGTGACAAGTTATATCAAAGATGTTCAAATTCTTTTTTGGAAAAATGCAATCTAAACACACAAGTAAATAAAATCATTTCAGGGAAATTCTAGAACGAGAGGCTTTTGAATGTTTTCACCAAAAAGAAATGATAAATGCATGAGGTAATGGTTTTACATTAACTACCCTGACCTAATCATTACAACACGCATATGCATCAAAACATCAAAGTGGGGCCGGCCCGGTGGCGCACTGGATAGTGCGTGGCTTGGGAAGTGCGGCGGCACTCCCGCCCAAGGGTTCGGATCCCACATGTGGACCGGTGCCCGCTCACTGGCTGAGCGAGGCGCGGGAGCAACACCGAGGGTTGCTATCCCGTTGCTGGTCCCCGGTCCAGTACGGGGGCAACACTGAGGGTTGCGATCACCCTGACCCAATCATCACAACATGCATATGCATCAAAACATCAAAGTGTACCCCATAAGCATGTACAATTACAATGTGTCAATTAAAATAAATAAAAATTTTTTAAAAACAGAGAGAAAGGGGCTGGGCCCGTGGCGCACTCGGGAGAGTGCGCTGCTGGGAACGCAGCAGCGCTCCTGCCATGGGTTCGGATCCTATATAGGGATGACTGGTGCGCTCACAGCACTCACTGGCTGAGCGCGGTGCAGTCGGTCTCAAAAAAGGACAAAAAAAAAAAAAAAACAGAGAGAAAAAAAACCTGTGGTCTTTAACTCAATCAAGTCCTCCCTGCAGCCTGTTGGCCTTTTACGCTCTTTTAGTTAGGTCTCTCTCCACTTACCACAGCAGCCATTTCAAACACTATGCTCTTTTATCTTTTAAAACTTTTTATCATAGAAAATTTCAATCATACAAAAATGGAGCAGCAGAATGAAAGCTTATGCACTCATTAGTCAGCCTCAACAATTATCAACTCATGGCCAATCTTCTTTCCTCTAAACTCTGCCCCACTCCCACTCCACTGAATAATTCTGAACCCTGTGCCGGACACCCTACTTCTGCATCCAGAACTGTTCTGGTGGCCATGCTCATTAGAGCCGCCATCCCACTTTCAGTAGATAACTTCATCTCTCCCTTGCAGACTAACTGAAGTCACCAGATACCACATGACACCCCCACCTTGCCACTACCAACAATATAGGCTCACCTGAATCTGCACTCTGGCCCTTCCGTTACCAGGTTAATCCATTTATCTAGACACGGGATCTGAGCCCTCATTAGGGGCTCAGTTCATGGTTTTTGGTCTTTTCCTCCTATACCTTCATCCTCCTGACTGAAGCATTTTGCTCACTTCTAAGCGTGTTCATCTGCATCTCTCAATTTCAACCTCTACCCCACTCTTTAAGTCAAACTTCTTAAGAAAGCAGCCAAACCCTTAGCTATTTCCCCTCCTTCCACTCACTGACAAAAAATAAGTTTTTTATGATTTTTACTTCTTTACATACTTAGGAGGAGGGAAGAACTTTGTTTTCTACTTTGGCCTAAGTATTATCAATTTTTATTTCATGTGTGCTTTTATGAAGCTTAATGACAACTGTCTGGTTTGCTGACTTGTAATTGAAAGAGCATCCCAAAGCCATGATGCTCCACAGAGACCTCCACAGCCAATTGTGTTTGAGAAACACTGCATCCTATAGGCAGCTCCTGTAGATTCAAAATGCACGTCACTATGTTTAAGGCTCTGAGAAGCCACATGATAAAGACACCAGGAACCCAGTAATTTCCATTCTATTGGTGAATAATTCTTAGCCTCTATCGTTTCATACAATATAGTTGGGATAATAATGTGACAAGTTATATCAAAGACATACAAATTCTTTTTTGGAAAAATGCAGTCTAAACACACAAGTAAATAAAATCATTTCAGGGAAATTCTAGAACTATAGGTACTCTGTCACAAAAGCAAGCAAAATTAGGACTCTGCTACCTCCATTGGGACCGGGGTCAGGGGGACCAAGACTGAGGCCTCCCCATGAATTTCCACTCCATCCTCGCTCCTGTTTAACCTTTATCTTCCTCCTCCGGTCCCACTCTTCTCTCTTCTCGACCATGTTTGCCTCCACCTTCTCCTGCTCTTCCTTGCTTCTTTGGGCAATGGTCTGCAGTACTCCATTTCTCATAAGAGGGACGTTCAGACCAGGCCACAGAAAACCAGAATGCCCTAAAGGATTAAAAATATAAATAAGAATTGTTAAAAAGCATTCATTTTCCCAAGTGTTAAAATGCCAGGTAATGCAAGTATAGATAATGACACACCGTGGGTAGGAACTTAAGCTACCACAATCACTTGGCATGTCACTTGGCACTATCAAAATTTTAAATGTACCTACACTTGGCACTATCAAAATTTTAAATGTACCTACCCTACAAGCTACTAATTTCATTTCATGGTATTACCTAGAGAAACACTCATGTACAAGTACAACGCACATGTGTGCTTGGAAAAGGATGTCCATAGAAATGTTATTTGTAAAGGCAAAAAATGCAAGCAATCTAAATGTGCAGCAGTAGCGGAATGGTTACATGAACTAAGTTATATTCCACATATACAATATTCCACACAAAATCAAAAGACCAAGGTAGCTCTCTAGGTTCTCACGTGGAATAATTTCTAAGATCTATTACTGAATGAAAAAAGCAAAGTGCAAAACAGCATGTACCGTATGATATAACTGAGTTATTATTAAAAAGAAAAAACCACGTATTTCTTTTAGAATATTTATGAATATAGAAGCATCAAAAACACTGAAGGAAACACACCAAAAGGAAGCTGGTGGTTTCCTCGGGAGAAGCAATAGGGATCAGGGGGGATAGAAAGGGCATCAAGGGGGACTTTAGGTTTCTCTATAATTTTTGCAATTTTATTAAGAAGGTATACATACATGAAAATTATAATCTAAAAAGTAAGTGTTAAAAATAAAATAAGATACAAGGCAAGGCTTAAAGAAGACACCTAAGTAGATTTGCAATGCTAGAAGTGTGGTGCAAGGTGTTTTCTTTATTCCTGAAAGGCTGTTATTATCAAAGATGATTTGTCAGCAACCACAGTACAAAATGGGCTGATTCAAATACACTATACTATTTTCATTCTTCAAAAAGCGCAAGTATAAACAATCATGTGTTCTAGGGGTCAGCAAACTAAGGCCCACAGGCCAAATCCAGCCTACCACTTGTTTTTGTAAATAAAGTTTTATTGAGATGCAGCTATGCCCATTCGATTACATACTATCTATGGCTCTTTATGTGCTACAACAGCGGAGTAGCAGAGTTGAGTGGCTGCAACAGACCATGTGACTCACAAAGCCGAAAATATTCACTATCTTCTCTTTGCAGATAAAATTTCCCAACTCTCCATTTGCTCCATCTTCTATCACTGAATTGTAAGCTCTTTGAGGGCAGGGACTGTTGCAGGACATACCACAAAAGGATAATTAATGCTTGTTGAATGAATAACTGAATGAATGAATCCCTTTCTTTGGGATCTTCCTCCCCCAACAATGAGTAAGCCATTTGGTTGGATTTCAAAACCACAGATCCCAGGGACCCTCATGAGCAATGTTTTGATACTTCTAGTTTGTAAAGTATCTATAAAATCTGGGGGAAAACAACATAAAAGGAATTTGCTGTTTTTATAAATAAGTTTACCTTCACCAATGATCTGACCCCTGTTCAAATCCTTTCTTCTCTTTTTCTTAGTTCTTTTGCCTCTTCCTTTTCTTGCTGCAGCACCAGTCTCTGCTAAAGCACCTTTCCATAGCTCATCTGCTGTTACTGTAATAAAACAGAGTTTTGTTTTGTTTTCTTAATTCTGTAGTTTTCAAGCAATGATCTATGGTATCCTATTGAATAAAAAAGGCCAGAAGAGGCCAGCTTCACCCACATCACTGAGGCAAAGGAAGCAAAATTAAATCATTCTTTGCATATATCACTTGGTTACACTTGAAAAGCCCAAGAGGAGGTAATTCTATTAATTGCCCCACAAAAGACAGCCAAGATTTAAATCCCAGTTACTTACCAACCGGTTTGTTTCTCTTACATTCTATCAGCTATGATACAGGTCTCTTCCCTGTCCTCTTGCCTCCATTAAATCTTAAGAATGAAGATTCTTAAGGGCCTGTAAAGGCCCTAAACATCTATGTTTCCTTCAAAATGAGATCCTCAAATTCACCTTCAGCTCCAGTTAAAGTCTAACCAATTCATACAAACAAATGAGTATTTAGGAGTTTGATAGTTAATACTCATGTGTGCATGGTGTATGTGTGTGTATTTCTTAAATCATGCTTGTCTTTTACTTGATGTGTAGACCCTGGCACCGCTGGCTTATTTTCATTTGTGAATTTCTAGATTCACAAAATCCTTTGCTGTCATCCATTTCAATTAATATTTTCCCCTTTGAGCTTACAGAATATTTAAATTCCTTTTTTTTGACCATTACTGAAATTTACTGGTTAGCTACATTATTTATTAGATTTAAAATCTGTCTTCCCAAGGACTTCTAGCCTTTCACAGTATTGCCAATTGATTTGACAACCACAGACATGTTCCGTTACCAATTTATTTAATAACAAATCAGAACCACACAAATATTGTACGAGTCAAAAATCTAAGACACATTTACCTACATGCTTGAAATACTGGACATATTCTAGAAAACAAACGAATACCTTCATTCTCCTCTGTACACTTAGGGTTTAAAAGTTCTATCTGCTTACTTCCTGAAAAGCCTAACCTTGATCCTCCAAGAAGATACCATGGTAAGGGAAAAATGCTTTGGATTTATAATTTTTTAAATGCTTTATATCTGTATAATATCCCAATTTTCAAAACGCACATATACATTACAGCTGATCTTCATAAATGAAGCTCGGAAAAGTGAGACTCCACGTCACATGCTGCTTTGTGCATCCCTGATCACAGCAAAAGACTAAGCTCAAACTTCAGGTTGACACTAATTCCCTTAAAAGGATCAAGATACAAGTATCAACCTCAAACTAAACTCCCACTAGAGATCTGAATTTCTTTCCCTAACTGCTTAAAAATGGTTGTACCTATATATGCCACTGAAAACTTGGAAGTTCACTTGTGATGGGGGCATACTAAGAGGCCTATCTGTTACAGTCTTCCTTCACTTAGAATCAGAATTAGAGGCCAGCCCGTGGCTCACTTGGTAGAGTGCGGTGCTGATAACACCAAAGGCATGGGTTTGGATCCTATATAGGGATGGTTAGTTTGCTCACTGGCTGAGCATGGTGCTGACAACACCAAGCCAAGGGTTGAGATCCCCTTACCGGTCATCTTTAAAAAAAAAAAAAAGAATCAGAATTAGTAAATCACTCTTTAAGAATAAAAGGGGGGCTGGCCAGTTAGCTCAGCTGGTTAGAGTATGATGTAGGTACCACCAAGTCCAAGGGTTTGGATACTCTCACTGGCCAGTTGCCAAAAAAAATGACTAAAAGAGATTCCATTTTAAAAGGAATCTGACGAGACAAAAAGGTAAAAGACTGAATTAAGAGTTTAGCTCTATTCTCTACATATCGTAAGAAAAAAATAAAATTTCTAATATTTGAAAAAGATACCAAATGATATGTCAACTTTTGAATGCCATTATGCTATTAAAAATGTTTTTAATCTTTTTTCAGATTATAAGTCATTTTTAAAAACCCAGAAAATAGACAGTAAGAATCTAAAAATTAATCATAATCCCATTACCACTGTTAGATCAGAATGTACGATCTGTACATATATCCTTTTTCCTTATATATGCATGCATACGCCAAGTGTATATATTTGTCTTAAACAAAACTGAGATTATACCATACATACAATTTTGTATCCTGTTTCTATACTTAATATTACATTGTGAGCCTTTTCCCACATTCTTAAATATTCACGAACATCAAGTTGAATTAAGTTCTTTTAACAGAGATTTAACTATTTTAACTTCAGGTCTAAAATTCTAACTAACCTAAAAGGCTATTTAGAAGAGATTTACTGGGCTGAACCCGTGGCTCACTCGGGAGAGTGCAGTGCTAGGAGCGCGGCAGTGCTGGAAGCGCCAAGGCTGCAGGTTCGGATCCTTATATAGGGATGGCTGGTGCACTCACTGGCTGAGCGCGGTGCGGGTGACACCAAGCCAAGGGTTACAATCCCCTTACCGGTCACAAAAAGATTTTAAAAAATAAATAAATAAATAAAATAAAAATAGAAGAGATTTACTACTATTTCAAGTCTTTTTGTCATTTTCTGGAAGGGTGTAGGTAGGTTAACTGTTGTTGTTACTTGTTAACTCTCATAGCTATATACATATATATATGTACAATATTGCTATAAATACACATATACATATGTATAAAATCCATATATGTATATAGTGTCCAACTTGATATTCTGAGTTATTTCTCTCAATCACGCTAAGTAACACTGCTTGCTAATTTGGATCAAAGGGATTTAAATGGTGGACCCTCTATGTCAGGGGGATAGGTTTACAAGTCCTGGGTACAATATTCTCAGGAAATCTTACTGAGTTTTGAAAAAATATGTTTTTTTTTTGAAGATTTCGAAAATCGAAGACTACTGCCTCCTAAAAAAGCAAAAACTAGCCCCATGCTTGTTTCCACTGAGCTCCCCTATTCGACCTAATCTCAATATGACTTGGGAACAATAAACTCATAAGTGTACTGAGTCATATAATTGAGGAAGAGAGTAGGCTAATGGAGAAAATCGGAGGCAGGTCTGGGAACACAATAAAGGACAGGGGTCTCAGAGGATAAGGAGAACCTCTAGAACAAGAAGAGTTAGAGAAAACACTTTTTAGAACAGAGAAAAGGCTATCAAAAAATAAAAATTCTCACGTGGTATACCCCCTGAAAGTTGGCTCTTAGAAAAATTGGGGCTACAGGCACCAAAAGAAGAGACTAATGGCCCCAACTTTATCCAGCTCTTTTTTCTCTTTGCACCTAAATCCACAGGTACGACTAAGCCTATGTTACTTATAACGTCTCCTGCCACCTGATCGTCTTTTCAGCATTGCTATACAAATGTCCTAGCTACCAGGAGACTTCCAAATTAAAGTGATTTGTACCCACACAATGAAATAGTCTACAGTCAAAACACTGCTCTGGAGGATCCATGGAAAAGTTACAATACATTGTTACATGAAAAAAGCAGCAAACCCATTATTTCAGGGTAGTAGGAATCTAGGCGGATTTTCTTCATTTTGATTTTTCTATTTATACCAAATATTCTTTTTTTTTTTTTTTTTTGTCTTTTTTCGTGTCCAGCAACGGATCGCAACCCTCAGTGTCGTGCCCGTACCGGACCGGGACCGGCAACGGGATCGCAACCCTCAGTGCTACACCCGCACCTCGCTCAGCCAGTGAGCGGGAACCGGTCTGTATGTGGGATCCGAACCCTCGGCGGGAGCGCCACTGCGCTCCCAAGTGGCGCACTGTAGCAGTGCGCCACCGGGCCGGCCCTATACCAAATATTCTACAAATGATCATTAATTGCCTTTATAATCCTAACTTATTTTAACCTGCCTGATGCTGAGTTGTGAATTTAATCTCTATTTATTACCTGAAAAGCTAATTTAGGTTCAGACTAGATTTTTCCAAATACTATCACAAATAGGAATAGCGTTAGCAAAACAAAGTCTCCTTAAAATTAACTTTTCCTGAGTGGATGTCCTATCTCCTCAAGAAAGGGACAAACAAAAACAGAATGGGAGTGCAGTCTTGGTATGACTCTAAATCAACAGGGTATTTCGGCCATGAGTCAATACTCTTTAGGCCTCAGGTGTCCCAAATGAAGGGATTAAAGTAAACTAGTGCTCCAATGTACAAGTTCAACCGATAGCCTGTGAGATTATTCCAGGAGGTACATCAAGAAACATTTTTATTTTAATACTACACTATAATCTAATCACTAAAATATTAATTTATTTAAGAAAGAAGAAGAAAAATTAAGATAGAAAACACCTTTTATTTTCCTGTTTCATGAAATGGGAAGTTTGTGGTCAGTCTACTTACATTTAGTGAAGAAACTATAGGGTCTATACTGCTGGCCCATCAAGTTAGTGGGAGAAGAAATACAGCATTGTGTCTGCAGCACACGGCTCAAGCTGATGCAATGATGGTTGTCTCTGGTTCCCAGTGCTGACAAAGAGCCTATAGGCATATAATACAAAACTGTGAGTGAGATGTTCCTTGGCTGTGAAGAAACAATGGCGGCACCAAATAACTGTCTCTAAAAATAAGTCATTAGAATCCTGAACTTTTACGAATATTTTGAGGATAGTCTTTCTTTAAAAAAAAAAAAAACTTTTGACTAACAACAACCAAAATGTCCATCCTAGTTATTACATAAGTCATAGTTCATCCACACAATGGATGTAGCTAAGGAAAGAAGTAGGTCTGTCCACACCAGAGTTTCTGTGCTGCATTATCCAACCACAGTTTGGAAAAGTCTGCTCTGGGCAAATAGCGCCCTCTGCATGCAGCCAGTCAATGTACCGATGTGTAAAGACCTGCAAATGACCTAGTTTAGAAGAGCAAGGTGCAAAAAACAGTGTGTAGAGAGAGTATCCTACCCTTTATCTTTAAAAGACAAGGAGGGGGGACATGAATATATTTTATAGACTAACTCCAGAAGGATATAAAAGAAATTGGTAACAATGGTTTCCCCTGGGGAAGAAAACTGATACATTTAAGGTTAGATATAAGGGACTTGCTTTTTTGTAATTTTTTTAACATATGCATGTATCACTTTAAAAAATGTTTTTAAACAGCCATGTCCTAGAGGCAGCCATTTGGCCAATCCCATGGATGGCGGTGTCCTGTGAGGAAGAGGGCAGGGGTGAGAGGAACTGATCAGTGGATACGAGGAAATAATATTGATAACAAAGGTACAGCAGTTTACTACAGTTGCTAACAAAGACTCTTGAGCTTCATACATCAATAGAGAAGCTACTGACTACAAGGGAAGTGATGAAGAGGATTAAAACAGCCCTTGAGAGAAAAATAAATGATTTAAGGGTACTGAAAAATAGAAAACTCAAGAGTGACAACAGCTTCTTTCAAGTCTCTGTGAAGTTATGAAGGCGGTAACAGCTGCTTCATCGCCACAGAGGGCCACACACCAGAAATGATTCTAAATACCAATAAAGAGAATTTGATTAAGAATAAGGGGAAAAAGTAATATTAAGTGGTTTCAGTAAACTACCAAAATATCTCCACTGTATATAGACACTGAAAAAAAAGAATAATCTCCTTTTAATCACTAAAAACCATTTAATCCAACCCTTTCATTTTACAAAATAAGAAACTTAGGCCTATGAGGTTAGGGACTTGCCAAAATCACAAGACTAATTAGTAGATGGGATTTAAACACCAATTCCAATTCCATATGAATTCCCCAACTGCATGGAGGCAGACCATAGTGACATACTGAGGTCCCTCTGCATTTGTTAGTTCACTTAATGAATTACTCAATAAAAAGTAGATAGAAAATGCTGACTTTTCATTTTAAATAAATTCAGGATTTCAACTGTCATTCCAAATCCCAGTATAATGGACATATTTTAGCTTGTCTTGTAACATCCTTAATCCTCAACAAACATTTAATATTAATTAAGATATTCAATTTTGCACTGTTTAGTATTGCACTCTTGATATACCTCAAGAATTATAAAAGCCACTACTATCATATTTAGAACTCTTTAATCTTTTTTAAAAGACTACAATACTATTCATAGCTAATAACGTCCTAAGCCTTAAAAGGTCAAATTGTCAAAATAAGAAAGAAACTTACTTTAGAGTTTAGAAAGTCACTTTTAATACACTATTTCTACAACTGACTTTGCATAAATTGTGAAGTGATGATTAAAACAGGAGATGGCAGGAGCTTGTGCTAAATCACATTCTGAAGCTCAGTTATCACCCACCAACAATCAGTTAGCAATTCTGCTCTGACCTTTGAATTAATTATTATTAATTTCAGACCATGAAGCCCCCATCTCAGGAAACAATCATCCCAGAGTCCAAAGTGGGCCAAGCCCAGGAAGCCCCTTTGTGTGGGCCTCCTCAAAGACACTCAGTCTGTTCTTTGAAACTTTCATTTAAGTGTTTAAGTTTTCACCAGGAAGAACTTCTTTCTAAGTCTCTTCTATTAAATCAAACCAGTTGATTAGTGATACATTCTGAGATTTTAGAAAAATTTTTGCTATGTTTCTGACCAATCTGTTCAACATTTAGAAAAACACAGTGATAGGTACCAGGTAAACTAAGCAACTTTTTAAAAACAAGTAATTATGAATTTTAGGAAAAAGAAAATCTTGTAGGAGAAAGGAAATGTACTGATAGAATACTACCTAGCTCAGCATGAATATATACATAACCTTGATAATAAAAATACTGCCCAGAGATTCAACCAAATTTGTGTTTATAACTATGTTGGGAGAAAGCAGGGACAATGGTGAGAGTTAAATATTCAAATAGCATAACAATATTAATAAAAGAACAAT